ACTAGGTGGGCGGGGGCGTGGAAGCAGCATGGCGCCTGGGGGTGGGTGCGTCGGTGCGGGAGCCCTGGAAAGGCAAGTGTCCGCGAGCTTTACGGGGTGGGCGGGGGTGGGCGGGGGCGGGCGGGTCTATGATCTTTTGAGGGGCGGGGAGCGAGTGTCTCGTGGGCTGTAGATTGATACGGGTTTGCTCGTGGGTTTTGCGGAGGGTGGGGTAGGAGGCGGGTAAGGGAGGGAGACCCGCATATCCATTCTGGCCTTTGGAGGATGGAGGGGCGCATGTCCTTTTGGGGACTAGGGGTAGATCCGTTGGATGGGGTTTTTGATGGGCAGGGATGTGATGTGTTTGGGAACAGCTTAGAAGGGAATAGGCGAGGGGAACGGACTCAGTCTGGGGAATTAGGAATTGCGACACACATCCAGGGTCCTGTGCACCCTGGTGGCTAAGCCCTCCCTCCCCTCACGTTTTGGCTTGAGCACGGGAGGCCCATCTCACCTGACGCTGCCCTTCCAGGTTTCCATAGCAACTGACTCTGCAGGCTGCCTTTTCGAGAGTGCGGGGAGAGGAGCGAGTTGGCGCTGGAAGGCGGCTCACCCTTCCCTCCCTGTAGCTGTACCTTTTTTGCGTGGGAGTGGAGACTGCTCACGTTCTGCCTCTGCCGGCGATTTTGACAGCTGGGTTTCCACGAAGCCTCCGAGTATATGCAAACTTTTGCATGGGTGTACATGTTTCTGGGGACAGGCTCTCTCTATTCCATTCTATTCTCAGAGGGATCCAACAGGACAGGTCTAGACTGTCTTTAGTCTGAAACAGCCCGCCACTGCCCATGTCATCCTTCTCTGCACAAGTCTGGTTTGGTGTAGTTGAGCTTGAGTTTGTAAGTCTGATATCAGGGTTTCAGTTTGGTCAGACTTAATGCTGGCATGTAGAAGGCATTAACCACTACCTTGGTTTTCATCCTCAGGAAACACTGGCAAATTTGGAGAGACAGATCTATGCTTTTGAAGGAAGCTACCTGGAAGACACTCAGATGTATGGCAATATTATTCGTGGCTGGGATCGGTATCTGACCAACCAAAAGTGAGTGTCAGAAGCCTGTAGTATTTGCCCTAGTAATATTTGTGTTTAGGGCTATGTGTGTTCTTGGTAGTGACTTTGTGACTTTGCAGGGAGGCAGTAGTAAAGTCGGGTGGAAAGAAGTCTAGACTTGAGCTTGGACCTTGGCTCAGCCACTGCCTCACTGAGTTATCCTGGACAAATCCTGCGTCTGTACAGTAGGGGAAGTCTGGCCAATGCAGCAGGGTTGTGTGAGGCTTAAATGAAGTACAGCATACAATACCTTACACATCAGGACTCCTGTCAGTGTTTTACACATTTTAATCTGTCACGAGTTCCATCCTCACAAGATTTACAATACCTGTGTGCCAGCTGTGCCATAGTTTGTTTAGTGGTATTCTTGAAAACTTTCTTAACTTTTTGAAATTTTTGTAATTTTTAGAAAAATTGAAAGATCAGTTCATGATCTCTTGATATCCTTCACCACATTGACCAGTTGTTAACTTGTTGCCACATTTAATTTCTCTCTGTCTCTTCTCTTTCTCTCTCTATAATATATGTTAACACACACCCCTGTATCTACGGGTATAATTATAGATACATAGGAAGTTGCGAAAATAATACAGAGGGGGCCCATGTACCCTTCACCCAGTTTTCCCCAATGGTTGGGTTTTTTGTAACTATATAGTACAATAGCAAAAGCAGGAAATTGATGTTGGTACAATGTGTATGTGTAGTTTGCTGTTTTATCATGTGTGTAGACTCCTGTAACCACCACTGCAATCAGATACAGAACTGTTCACCACAAAGATCTTCCTCATAGAAGAATACTTCTCATACCTCCTTTGTAGTTATATCTCCCCTTTCCCTCACATATATATATATTTTTTGCTAAACCATTTAAAAGTTAAAAGCAGATATCATGACACTTCCCCCAATTATGTCAGCAATTCCCTCCTAAGAATAAGTACATCTTTCTTACGAAACCGCAGTTATTATGCCCAGAAAATTAGCACGACGTTAATAGTATTGTCTAATAGAGTCTTTATTCACAGTTCTCTAATTGTCCCCAAATGCATTGCTACCTTTTGATCCAGTCAGTGTTTGGGCCTTGCTTTTAACTGTTATGTCTCTTTATTCTCTTAGTTTAGGAGCGTCACACTCTTTTTGGTGGTGAGGTTGTTGTTTATGACGTTCATTGCCTTGTAGAATGTCCCAATTTCCAGGTTTTTCTTATTGTGACCTCATGAGCGATCCTTTAAACATTTTTGGCGAAAATGTTGCGTTGGTGATTTGTGTACCTCTTGTTGTTCAGCTCTGTTTTATCAGGAGGCACATAGTGTCAGATTGCCCCCTTAGTGGTGCTGCTAAATTTGATCATGTGATTTCACCATTGTAAAAGTTCATTTTTTTCTCTTTGTAATTAACAAGGAATTTCGGAGGTTATCCTTTTTGGCAGTGTGACTATGCTGCTCCCCCCCTCAGTTTTTAATCACTGGTTTTGGTATCCATTGTTGATACTTATCTCAGTCAGTTATTAAAATGGGAGTTGCAAAACAGTGATTCTAATTTTACCATTCCTTTTACATTTAGTACTGGCATTCTAAAGGAAGTCTTTCCTTCTTTCCTTCTCTCCCTTTCATTCTCTTTCTTTCTCTCTTTAGCATCACTATAGATAGACACTGGGATTTTTTTTTTTAAATCAGTATGTTGAGATCTAGAACTATCACTTATTGTAAAGTTTTAATTTTTTGTAAAAATTAACTTACTGGAATCTACTCAGAGAAGTGCACAACTCATAAATATATAGCTCCCTGACTTTTCACAAAGCTAACACACCCATCATTTTCTTTTTGATGTTTAATTTGTCCCAAAATGTGGCCAGAGGGAGCCTCCTCAGGCTGACTCCTTTGTCCTTTTGACATGACCCGCTTGTTTGGGCACTTCATTGCGTTCTGTCACCTTGTCCTTTTCTTGTTCCAGACCTGATATCTGTCAGTTCTCTAAGGAGCCCTGGTTTTTCAAAAATTTTTTAATTAAGGTTATTTAACAGAGAAACTTCATATCACTAGTCTGTGCTAGATGTTTTTAATAATAGGCATTAAAATAAATACATATTAAAATGAAACCGTTTGTGAACTAACTAAAGTCATCCCCTGTGCCACCATGGAGCACATACCGTCCTTTGGAGAGCTTCGCTGTCTGCATAGGCATTCAGCGTAAAGGTCACTGTGGTCCATCCAAGTAGGTAGGGAGGCATTTCTGTATGGAAATTGATCATTAAAAAATGAACAAGAGTTCCTTACATTTGTCCTGGGGCGTCTGCGTCCTCAGCCTGAGCCCTAGACATAGCTTGGTGCTTATAATGAGTTTCTTGTGTGTGTTTTAGAAACTCCAACAGCAAGAACGATCGGAGGAACCGGAAGTTCAAGGAAGCGGAGCGGCTCTTCAGTAAATCCTCAGTGACTTCAGCAGCTGTAAGTGGGGTGGGGAGATCTTTCTGTGGCCCTTTGTGCAGGAAGACCTGAGTTAAAGTTCTGTGAGTTTTCTCTGTCCTTTCTGTTGGGGAGTGCTCTCCTCAGGTCTGTGATCATTTTCCTAGTAACTAGTGGTTTTTTCTTTTAGGCAGTAAGTGCATTGGCAGGAGTTCAGGACCAGCTCATTGAAAAGAGTAAGTTTATTTATTTATTTATTTTTCACTTTTGCATCAGTTTATTTTTAAGCCACCATAGCCCCTATGTTTTAATTCCTATCAGCTGTGTATCTGAGGACTGCGTCTCTTATATTTTTGCCTCTTCTTTTTAGAAGTCAGGAATCCTTTTGGGTATCCTTAATCACGTCTTTCTTTTGAGGAAGAAACGACCTGTCCTTCTTGCCTTTTCAGTCACATGAAGGTTGACTTTAGCTGCTCGAGGACACAGAGAGATGTCTTTACTCCTGATCGGTCTTAGAGAATTAAAAAAAAAGCAACCTTTTATCATGGAAAATTTCAGACGTATTTAATATATTCCCGTGTGCCCAGCTTAATAATTCTTAGGAAATTCTGATCTTGTGAACAGAATGTACCTGTGTGTTCTTAAATGTAAACTGGAGAGCAGATAGTATTTACTTTGTAGAGAAATTGTATTGTTCTCTGTGTGTAAGCTGTACTCTCAATTCCTTTCTAATTTGTAGTGATGAGACATAGATCTGCAAGTTTATCTTTCTGAGTCAGGCTCTGTGGAGCTGTTATCAGGTGCTCTCCCTGTGTGTTCGGTCACTTTGAAATACACCCTGCTTTTTGTGCTGTGGCTGTGTACCTTCAGATGGCGGATCTTGTGGGATCCAGTTCTTCTGTTTGCATTGGGGCAGTGGTTTGGGGAAAAAGGATTTTAGTAGCTTGGAAATTCAAACTACTCAGTGACTTCAATTATTATCTCTGTGTACAGATTTCTGAGTTTTTAGCCCTATTCCTAGCTCCTGTCCTGAATTTTACTCATGCATTTCTAGAAAATTCTAGAAAATGTCTTTCAGACATTTCCACTCAGATAGTCGGACTCAAGCATTTGTCTAACACTGAGCTGTTCTATTTCCTTCAAAATGCATCTGCCCAGTTGTTTTGTTACAGTACTTCTGTTCTCCTTCATTCAAAAGTTGGTAGGCATCTCTGATTGCTTTCTGCCAACCTGATCAGTTGGACCAAGTCCTTTTGATTTTTCTTTCACTATGACTGTCAGTTAAATCTTATTTGTTTTCAGTTAATATCACTTCTAGATTATGGAGCCATTTCGTCTGCTTTGTGGAGTAACAGGACCGGTTAAGGAGCATTCTGGACCTCACTCCTATGAGTTGAGATGGAGTGATGTCTGCCTTTTTAATTTTCACAAAAGCCTGTTATCCTGCCCCAGGCTTAGGAGATAGTTTAGTATATGATTCTGTACCTAATTACCCACATAGGAGGGGTGGGCCCAGGCACTTGTCAGGAAGGATCTTAAAGCCACTGCTTTCAGCAGCTTGACTGAGGCACACATTTCTGTATTAAAGATTCTCTAAAGTGTATGCAGGCCATCCATGCCCCTAAGATCTTCCCCCTGGATTAAGCCCCACCTCTGGAATACATCATATTGGTATTCCTCAGTCTTCCCTGTAAAGTTTCATTTGCTCGGTTGCACTTTGGTCCTGCACAAGGTGCCACTATTATTGGAAGAGGATGTTGTAAGTGTTGTTTGTTATCATTACCGTTATTTCCTTCAGGAGGAGTAGTTTTCCCTGAACGACTATTTGGTTTTTACTGAAAATCTGGTAATTGACCGTTTCCCTCTTTGTATGGATGCTAATATGCTTAAAGTCAAATTTGTGGTTCCTTTTTAGAAAGCAAATGGGAATTTATAGCATGCATTTTGGGAGTGAATCTTAGTGCTGCATCCAGCTCCCTTCCTCCTATTTCTGTTTGCTTTACTTCCCTCATTTTGAATTTATTTTATTGGATTTCATCCTTTTTGCTTATTTGGCTTGGGTTTCATTGGACTTTATGAAACTGTGGTTTGGTGTTTTTTAATCAGCTCTGGAAAATTCCCAGCTGTTACCTCTTTGGATGCTGCATTTGCTCCATACTCGCTTTCTTCTTCTGGTGAGATGTATGTTAAACCTTCTCATTTCATCTTTTGTATCTTTTATTATCTCTTTTATATCTTCTTGTCTCTGTGCTGCATTATGAGTAATTTTTTTCTGATCTACCAGTTCACTAATTTGCTTTTCAATTGAGTCCTGATTTACTGTTAAACCTTTTATTGTTACATTTTTAATTTCTAGAAATTCTACTTAACTGTTTTAAAGATTGGCTATGTAATTTTCCAGTAGCTTTCTTGGCAGCTATTTTCAAACTTCACATTTTTTACTTCTTTAAGTATAGTAAGCATAGTTTTTCTGTACTCTGTATTTAATTTCAATTTCTAAAGTCTTTATAGACCTCTTTTTGTCTGTTGTTTCTTCTGGTTATTACTTATGAAATCTAATCTCCCTAAATGTGTGGTTGTCTTTGACGGTGCACTGCTCACTGTAATTGAAAGTATTTGTAGAATATTTGAGGGCTAGGATGCAGGTGTTGTCTTCTAGAAAAGACCGTGTTTGCTTCTGCTAGGACTGCTTGGACCAAGTTCAAGACTTGAGGGTCCCCCAAAGATGCAGATGATTCACACCAAGCTTTAATTCCAAGAGAGGAACGATCCGCTTTGCCTTTCACTCTTTTTTTCCTTTGTACAGAATCTCTCCCTTGTCTCAGAATTTTTGTACAGCAAATCTTGTGGAATGACTTCTGTGTTTTTGATCTTTGGTGGCAATGAAAGAAATATCCTTTTCCCTTAGAATTTGGACTTGTATATTCCTAGATCTCAGGGGCTTTGGAGCTTTGCATGGTCGGCATTTATTTTCAAACTGTTCTGAAAAATTTCCCCCAAAATGTGTTGCTTTTGCTTCCTTTGGCTTCTGATGTGCCCGCACTAGAACAGGAATGGATTAGCGTGGTCCCCAACGGGGGGTTCTATGCTAATTAGTGAAGCATTGTATATTTTTGTAAGAAGAATAAAGTAAAAAGAAAAATAGGCAGATTTTCTCCAGTTTCCGATGAAGGGTCAGCAGTCTCTCCTGTTTGTTTACTGGAGTCGTCTGAAGTTCTCACCAAAGCAGACCTCTCCGGCAGCCACAGCGTTGCACAGGTAAGTGACTGGCTGCGTGAGCATTGTACTGGGCGTCTTCCTTTCTGTGTTTAAGCCTTTTTACGCCCATCAGCAGTTCCTGCCTCGCAGTGTTCAACAGCTGATTCTTCCTTGTAATAAGCAGAGTGTCTCATCTGTAGATTTATTTAACTTCAAATCTGATGGCTGGAGCCCCAAGTATCCAGGCCAATGTCTCGTCCATAAGAGGTAACTCAACACGTGAGAGAAAGAATTGCTATTTTACAGGTGAGGAAACAGGCTCAGAAAGGTTAAGCAACAAGTCAGTTCTTCTCACATCACCTCGTGTTGTCTCCCTAGATTAGATCCCTTAATTGGACAGTTGTGTCTTTCCATTTCACCTGTCATTTCTTAGGCTCTCTGTTTGAGATACTTGATTTGTTTGTCTCAAAATACACCTTTTTTTCCTCACCTCTGCACTTTTGCCTGTGCTGTTTTTTGTACTAACTTTGGCTTCTCATGTTTCAAAGTCCAGTTTAAATTCTATGCCCTCAACGAAGCTTTTCCTGAATAATCTGCTCTTCCTTCTCTGACTCCCATAATTCTTAGTGTCCACATCAGCCCTTTGGGACATCGGTTACTTCCTGGACTCTGTTCTTAGGGCTTTGATTTGATTTACACCACTTTGTATGTGTTTGCACGTGTGTGCGTGTACCTGGGTACCTACCTGATGGAATATTACTGGCTCATCTGTTTACTCAGTACTCCCATGCCAGCTGCCCCCAAACGAGTCAACAGTTCTTTTGGCTCATCAATAAATTTTAATAGAATGGCAACAGAGACAAAATTTCCCATATCGAACTTGCCTTTCTTATTTGTTTCTCACCTTTTTAGTTAGCCCTTGTCTCCTCCTGTGCCCAGCCCCTCCTCCGTTAGTCCTGTGTCCCTTCTGTCGTCCTGTGATCCAAAGCTTTTGTGACCACACGCCCTGTCAGCCTGTCCCCCCCTACCGCCCCTGCCACCAGTGCCTCCATCATTTGCATTTTCAGAGATGATATTTTTACCTAAATAAATAAGACTGGGTGTGGGAGAGGAAGGCTATCCTGACCACACCTCTCCATCTTAGACTCATCTTTTTACATTTCATTAGACTTTTTAACAAGAAGAATAATATATTTTCATTACAAGTCAAACTATTTAGAGGTGAATATGAAAAAGGTTAGTAACTTCCAGAGGTAGCCAACATTAATAGTTTGGTATTATCCTAACATATTTCTGGAGACACACACACACAGCTGGAGGTTTTTTTTAATAGAGAAATTGGATCTGTGCGTATTGCCTGCTTTTCACTTGCTGTGGCACGCATACCCCTGCCAGTTCGGTGCATACGGTGAGGGGCAGTGTAGAGCAGTGATAAAGATATGGACTTCGGAGCCAGCCCGTCTGGTTTGAATCCCAACTGTACTGCTTATTAGCTGTGTGACCTTGGGCGAGTCCCTTAACTTCTTTAGCCCTCAGCTCCTTTCTCTGTGAAATGGAGGTCATATTAGGAGGATTGTATGTACTAATATATTTGAAGTGTGTAGAATAGGGCCTGGGTTATAGTAGGGTTGTTAGCACCTCCTGTTCTTATTTATTTATTTATGAGGGGGAGGTGATCAGGTTTATTTATTTATTACTATTATTTTTTTACTTTAATGTAGGTACTGAGGATCGAATCAATGACCGTGTGCATGTTATGCATGAGCTCTACCACTGAGCTAGACCTTCCCCCATGGTGTTCTTTTTAAAAGTGAAAAAAATACCTCCTGCTCTGGTTGTGAGCCTTCTGTTGATAAATATTCACGTTGTCTCCATTTTTCCCACTCTGAACAGCGGTAAACTTCCTCCTCGTACGCACGTGCTTTTTTGTAGTGGAGGTTTAATTTCTGTATGACAGTGCTGTTACAGTGTCAAGAGTGATTTTCATAAATATAACCCAGTTACTTTCTGTGGTGTAATGGGGAATGCATATTTGGTC